AAAAGCTTCAAGGCAACTGTTAAAACACCTTCAAAGAACTAACGGAAGCCCCACTTGAAAAAGTCATGGATGGTATGATGACAATATTTTCTCAAAAATATTATCAACAAAAAGAAATAGAAAAACATATTTAATATAGAAATTATATTTTTAAAAACTAACCATCTAAGCATATAGGTAGGTGTGCTTCACGGGAGATTTGAACTGACAGCAGAAAAGAATCAGCAAATTTGAAGACAGATCAATAGAGAATATGAAATTTGAAGAACAGAGAGAAAAATTATAAGGAAATAAATAGATCCTCAGAGAAATATAGTAAGTCTTTAATCATATGTAATACGAGAATGGGAAAGAGAAGAGAACCACTGTGCCTGTTCCAATGGGCTGCAGATCAGGGCTGCAGACCTAGCCATGAGGCTCGGTTGCTGACATTGTGATCTTGGGTCAGTTTTGTGGTCCCTCTCTGTATTCTGGGCTCTTTGTCTATTACATGAGGCTGGCAATGTTATGAAAACTTTATTTCCATAAGGTGGGTAAGAGGAGTTGAAGAGGGGAGGGGAATGGAAAAAAAAGAACCAAGATATCTCATGCATAGGTATAAATTCCCTAGGATGAATTAGCATTATCATTATGTGTCGTCATCTACTGTTTGGTATGCAGAGTTCGGTTCGGGAGATCGGACTGTGAGGGTAAGGTGCGGAATCACCAGGCAGACTCCGGGGAGGTTTCTGGGATGTTTCTGCTTTATTTAGGAAATGCACAGGCTTATATAGCTTACATATGGACAACTTTGGGGGAGGAGCATGGGAGGAGCATTTAATTACGTGGCACTTTCTTATAGGTTATGCAGTTCCATACATTAGTGGAGAGCATCGGGAGATATCTTATTGGCTAGACATGGTGGGATGATTTTTCTTGGGAGAGGTGAAGGAGTCCTGGGCTAGGGGCAGAGCTGTAGCCTGTTAGATCCAGTGTCTATGCACTTAGGCGAGCTTGCTCAGGCTTAGCATGGTCTCTGAGCTTGCTCAGGAGGCAGGAGTGCGGTGCACCTGGCCCAGCCAAGCTTGAACTTCTCCTGTAATTATGTATGTATAAAATATAACAATAAAAATTTAAAAACTCCAAGAAAGGAAAAATATTAAAACACCATAGGAGTTAATTATAATTGTACATTTTGAGAGTACAAAGCATTTGTCTTACAATGCTATAGGTGGCTGCAGTAATTATGAAGGGACTAAGAATGCACACATTTGTTAGAGTTTATGGGGACGGTGATTTCACTGACTTTCACAGGGGAGAGAAAGCTTCCAGAATTTAAGGCTATGGCTGTATGTCGTCAAAGTTAAATTAGTATCAGCTTAAAATGGTGTGCTATCACCATAAGATATTTTATGTAAACCTCACGGTAACCACAAAGAAAAAGAATTCAGAAGATTCACAAGAAATAGAGAAAAGAATCAAAGCATGCCTCTACAAAAAAACGATCAAACTAAAGCTGTGTGTGGTGGTGCACATTTGTAATCCTAGCACTGGGAGGCTGAGCTAAGAGTCTTGCTAGTTTGAGACCAACCTTGGCTATATACTGAGGTCAAAGTTCACAGAGGAAGATAGTAAAAGTATATGAGTGTAATGAAGTGACTCTAAAACAGAACACAAGAAACAAAATGGTGGTAGTAAATTCTCATCTATAATTATTTTTAGTGTAAGTGTATTAAATTTTCTAATCAAAAGACAAGAAATGACTGAAAAGCTTGAAGATAAGATCCAATTATATGCTGCCTACAAAAAACATAGATTAGTTCATTGAGAGAGGACAAAAAGGTATCCCATTCTGTGCAAATGATAACCAAAAGAAAGCAAGGGTAACTATGTCATACAAAGTAAACTTGTTAGAATGTGTTATAATGATTATTATAAGGGAAAAGATAAGCATTGCCAAAGATGGGGACAAAAGCAGATCTTATGCATTGTTGTTGGGATTGTAAATTAGTACAGCCTTTATGGAAAGTAGTATGGAGTTTCCTCAAAAAATTAAAATCAGAACTATTATATGATCCCATAATTTTACTTCTAGGCATCTTACTGAAACTGTGCATGTTGATAGTAGCGCAGTTCATCATAGGCAAGTCTCAAAAGTGGCTTCCACATGGGTCGATAGATAAATAGATACAGGAACTATGGTATGTATACACAGTAGGGCACTATTCCACTGCAGTATAAACAAATCTCTAACATTATTCACCCTCACTGAAGCACTGGATCCTCCTGACCCCCATTCCTCTTCTCAACAAGTTCCTAGCAACCACTATTCAATTCTACTTCTATGAATTTGATGCTTTTATGTTCTCACTTATGATATAAATGAGATCATGCAGTATTTGTTTTTCTGTGTTTGGCACATTTCACTCAGCACATGTTATTGTCCAGGTCCATACATATTATTGCAAGTGACAGAATTTCTTTCTTTTTAAAGGGTGAACAACATCCCACCACATATATCACAATTTCTTTATTTATTAATCTGTTGTTGGACACTTAAATTGTTTCTGTATCTTGGCTATTATCCTGCAATGAATGTGGGAATGCAGATATTTCCTAGGAATACTAATTGTATTTCCTTTGGATATATATCTGGTAGTGCAGGTCCTGGAAAAAAAAATGATTCAAAAACAAGGAAGGAGTTGTTTGAACTTGTTTATCTTTTTCTTCATTGGTTTTCTTGGGGTATGAGAGCTTTTTTCTTTCTTTTGTTGCCTGTTACTTTTTTCTTCTTTTTCTTTCACATTTTGGGAGAGGAATAGTGAGTCACTAGTAAGTCCTATTTTTTTCCACACTCACATTTTGTGTGTGAATGCTGAGTCCTGTCCTACTTTTCCTGTGGATGTGATTGATCAATGCTGTCTGCCCTAGAACTGTATTCTCTCCAGCAACTCCCAGTTTAATCTCACTTCAAGTTACTGCTTGGTCCACCTGGCTTTATGTCTGTGGATTTATGGAGTACTGTCCCACACTCAGCTCCAGGAGTCCCTTTTTCCATATACAACAGGTGGTGGCAACCATTCGAGTTAAGGTTTATCTCGGATCACACTGGCAGACCGGAAGGTCAACAGTCCGCTGAGCTCTGTGCTCGAAGTGGGCAATGGGTCGGGGATGGTGTGTGTTAAGCAGTCTGCTGGATTTGATTCCAGAGTGCTCAGACCCAGGGCACTCCGAAACCACACACAAACCTCCTGGCTACTCACCACAGAGAAAAAGGTAACCATGTCCCTCCTAGCCTGAGCTTAAACTTCCCAGGGGATCTGTATTTTATTTATTTATTTTTATTGAGTTTATTGGTACATTGTAGGTATACAGTATAGTTGCATTCATTATTGGGATCTTGCATCTTTACATGACAGGTCTTGCTTCTCATTTTTTCCCCTTGTCCCTGCCCTCCCTTCACCCCCTTCTCCCCTCCCCATTTGCAAACACTTTATTTCCATTTTATTCATTTTCTCCTATTTTTTCTTTTCCCTTATTCCCTTTCCCCTACCCTTCCCACTTTCCCTACACCTTTAGCCCTTTTCTTCCTATTTCACATTGTCAATTATCTCATTAGGATCTTATGTACTATTATATTTCAGGGAATCTGTATTTAACCCAACACTCTCTATCTGTCCCATGTGGATGTCTTCTACACAGTCACTGTGGTAGGTTGACCCCAGAAACCTTAAAGTGTAGTCATTCTTAGCTCAGCCTTAAACAATTAACCAGCTCCCAAAATGGCCCCTGATGAAAACCACTCTCAAATATGGAGGGTGCTGCATTAGGTTTCCTCTCTAACTCTATTCTGCCATGTGGAAAGAGTCACTTTCAGACTAAAATACCATGGTGTTTTTCCAGTTTATAATAACTGTAGGCTTTGGTTTGGGCTAGCACTACTGGACTGGTCTGTTGATTTTCCCTAGAGCTGGTGACTTTCTCATGGCTTACTTTGTTTTAGCAGCGCCAAGACCCCCTCCTCCTTTGGAGCCAAGTTCATTGTTCCACTCTGCTTTGTCCTTTTCTCTGCATTGTTGCTGTAGTTTCCAGTTTTCTTGTTGGATCTTTCTTGACTCCCAGAGTACTAATTTTTTCTTTTCCACTAAATTGTTTTTCTTGTCCTGATTCCAGGTCCTGGAGGGATTGTATTTTGCTGCTGGCCTTTAGCAGCCCCATTTTCATTCAATCTAAATTTAGTCTTTTGCTAGGCTATATAATCTTATGAAACCAATGTTCCATGCAGTCTGTCATTGACCGGAATGATGTCATATGGTGCCTGACTGTAATCTCATAATACTGTGTGTAGCATATGGCAGTGGAGAGGAACATGCCTTATAAGAAGGAGGGAAGAATTCATGGGGTTTGTAGCCCTTTTCTTCTTTTATTAAACTCCTTTGAAAATTATCTAATAAACTTCTCTTAATTTCTAAAATGTGATTGTAGTTACAACATTCACACAGTTATATGGACACTTCTGGAGGAAATGAAATAGAAGAAAACACAATATGATGTATTTACATATGCACATATCTGAGAATACACGAAATACACGTGTATAAGCACATATCTCTATCTCGATATCTGTTGTCTGTGTCTGTATACAGACACATTTAGATCTACAAACCCTTCTGTAGAGCAGTCATATAGAACATGGTTATATAGTAGCAGATCCCCTGGCTGGAAGCTGCTCTGTGACAACTTATTAACTTTAATGACATGACACTAATGTCTACTGAGTTTACTCTTTTGTATTCTCTTTTATTTTATGCAAGTTTTATGCAGTGAGATGTAGACTAGGACTGCTCTCCTTATTATGGCTTTAATTTAAATTGTCATTTTTGGACTGCTCACTGTATGCAATGATTTAAAGCAAGGAAGAGAAGTGTACAAAAAACACTCCCAATACTGAGAAGAACCAGCAATTAATTCTTAGACATTCTAAAGCTATAGACAACAGTTTCTGTTTTCTTTCTTTAAAGTTTTTCAGGTTCTCCATATGCTATCGTGGAAGTGACTGAAAAATCATCACGACAGCCAAACAAAGGTGTGAGCAAGTGAAGTGCACTTTTTCTATAAACATGAAAATCTTCACCCAGAGGTGACTGACCTTACCTTGTCCTTAGAGGTCTGTTCTCTAAAAGCAAGCTCCTGGGTTCTTTCTTCTGGCTCTGTGGGATGAGCAGGAACAGGTCACTGAAAAGCTGACATGCTGTGGCCACGGATAGCATTCCTTTGATCAATGAAGCTTACAGGGAAACTGCAAGCCTGAAATAAATGTAAAGACTACTTTGATCAAGGAGACTCTCTGGACTGCTGTGGGAGAATATAAGCATATGATGGAGAAGACACGCATCCATAGGTGTGTACCTTCCAGTTCTTACTGGCAAAGTTTAATCACAGGAATGGGAGGGAGAACCAAGGACTAAACTGGCGTGTGGCAGCATGATGGGGATACTAAAACAATTTTATTTGGGAGAGTAATATACTTTAAAGTGGAAAACAATGGAATAAAGTACAATAACTAGAAAATATCACAGTGCATTTCATGCAAAAAGTATCATTTCATGAGTGTGCTTTTGCTTCTTCATAGGTCCTGAATTGGAATTTGGGTTTTTATTCCCTTGTAGGTCCAGGCAAAATGTTTGGAGAATGTTGGCATAATTTACATCTTTGCCACATACTTCTGGGGTTCTGAGTATGAAAAGTAAAAGTAAAAATTTGACCACTAGCCCTGAGCTTTTCTATACTATAATATTGCTCTTTTGGGAGCTGTTTATCAACTATTTTGGCACAAGGAGATAAAATCCTGATGTGGAAGCAAGCTGTCTACAAAAATAAATGGGAGATTTATTACTAAGCCTCTGGAGGTAGATAAGACCAGAGGAGGACGCTGACCAACATGTGTGGGTGTGCATGTGTGTGAAATTTAGAGAGTGAGGTTTATTACAGGGCACCAGGATGAAAATATTTCTTCCAGTAAACGACGACCAAAACCTTACTGATCACACTGCATCCTGGATGAGAGAAAAGGCTCAGAAACCTGACATGATTCCAAACCTGAAGAATTAACCTGGAAGGCAGAAACCAGTAATCCTTCAGTTTGCTTTGTTCCCTGCCTCGGGAAAGAACCATGTTCTTGATTTCTAACAGAACATATAAAGGGACTTTCTGAACTGTGGGGGATCGTCACCCTCTTCTGGATGCTACGTAGGGGGAAAACAGAGTACACAGAGCCATATCATGTTGATTGACTGTGAGATTATTTGTCCTATTCTCTCTCCTAGGATACTCACGTTGTTTCCAAATGCCATAGTTCGCAAATTATTGTTCATGCTGATATTTATTTTAGTTTTCTGGCTCATTTACTTGACTTCAAAAGACCACCCAAAGGTAGGCATTATTTTCTTTTTAAGAGTTTCATAGAAAGTGACAGTGTCTTCATTTGAATGTTTCCCTTTATCATGGAAAGAAACAAAAGTTAAAAGTATGTTATCTACCAAAAGACTGGGCCAGAGGCTCTCTGTTCAGCATTAAACCATTTGACAGCATACATGCTATTATTATTTGTTAATGCAGAGGGACTTGAGGATGCCTGTGTGTCACCTGGCACAACTTAGCATCCTGTCTCAAGGTTTTCTCCGTCCCTTGGCACTCGAGATTCTAATCCACTAAATCTCTGTTTCAATTTTCTGCCTTCTTCACAGGGTTTTAAAAAAATTCTTTGTATAGTTCAGTTACTGTTTCTTGGATTTTCACTTATTGCAGTTTTTCTAAACTGATCATGCTTCTACCTTTTCCTCTTCCCATAAACTGAGTAGATCTTTGCTTAGATGTTGTCTTTATTTAATACTAGAAGCAACCCGACGCCAACTTCTTAGCATTCCTTTTACTCTGTTTGACTTCACTTTGTTTTTTGCAACTTCCTACTACATCCTATATAATGTATGACCTACAATGTTCATCGATCACTGTATCTCTTGGCCTAGTATATGGTGACCTCAAGGAGAGCAATGATTTTAGTATGTATTTGCTTGCTGGCATATTTGAAGTGCTGAGAACAATGTCTGGCATGCAGTAGATGCTAAACAAACAACTGGTACAGTTATTTATTGATAATAATTAAAATAAATTAAGTAAAGAAAGACTATTTAGTCATTTATTATAGGTCGTAAGTAATGAGAAGCGGGAAAGTCAGTGAATTTAAGAAAGAGTTGACAGCAAGAGTGATTCACTAAGAGAGGGTAAACAGTGGGGTTAGGCTAACCAGGTGTTACACTCCAGGTTTGTACAAGTACATGGTTGACTATTCCATTTACTGAAGTATATACAAGAGTAGGAAAAATAGCTTTGGAGAACAAAAGATAAATTTATATATTAAAAGTCTAGGTTTGAGATTCTTAAAGTCATCCAAATGAGTGATATTGCTTCAGCATACTGTTGAATATACAGATCTGAGGCTGAAAAACAGTTGGCTTAGAAAAGTAGATTTAGGAGCATTAGAAGACAAATGGCAGTTGAAGGCTTGGAGTCTAAGACATTTCCTTATTTGTGCTGTAGAGTGGGAAGGAAAAGCTGTTAATGATGAAATCTTGTGGACCAGAATAAATACTAGGCTGAAAAGTGAATGGTAAGAGCGAAACTGAGAAAAGTGATGGGAGAGAACTCTCAATATATTTAATTGATAGATTAGGGACCTCAAAGATTTTCTTTCTTCAATATGGGAGACATTTGAATATATCTAAATTCTCATGGAAAAAAGCTAATAAAAGAATGAAGTAGGAAAAGAAAGATGTGGTTACATTTAATTTGAGCAAAAAGTTGATTTGCCCTATGACTACCGTTAAAGGTTTGAGAAGGTTCAAGAACAAAGAGCTATAGGCACTGGAAGATCTGCCTCACAAACACTGAAGTCTACCTGGAGGATGTCAGGACTTTTAGTGTTGATGAAGAAGACCACAAGCCAAGTTCTTCAAAGTCTCTGATAAGGAATGAAAGAAACCAATGGCTGAGAAAATAACAGAGAATGAGAGCATTATGTAATGATTGGTGACATTTGGTCAGATATATCATGCAGAGAAAAAGATCTTAGGGTTTTCTGAAAAGAAAAAGTATAAAGTTTAAAAATACACCTAGCCACACATAAGAGAAATGTGTGAGTACACATATGTATAACACCTTTCTTTTAGTGTGTTTGGGCTGCTCTACAAGAGTACCATAGACTTGGTATTTTATAAACAATGTAAGTTAATTTGTCATATTTCTGGAAGCCGGAAGTTCAAGGTCAAACCCAGAGCCAGGCATGGTGATATATGCCAGTAATTACAGCACTCTAAGAGGCTGAGACAGGAGGATCAGAAGTTTGAGACCAGTCTGGACAACTTAGTGACTTAGCATAATCCTGTCTTAAAATAAAAGATAAAATAAGCTCTTGGATATATCTCAGTGAGAAAGCCCTGAGTTCAACACCCAGTATCCCCCCATCTACACACGCACACACACACACACACACACACACACACACACACACAGACTGAAAGAAAAGGAAAGTCTAGATACAGTTTCTGGTGTCTATGTGTGTGTGTTTTTGTTTTGTTTTTGTTTTGTTTTTTTGGGGGGGTACTGGAGATAGAACTCAGGACCTTGCACTTGAGAGGCAGGTGGCACCACCTGGTAGAAGGGGCAAAGAGCTCTCTGAGGTCTGTTTTATTTTTGGTTTCCCTTTTTGGGGGGGTCTTTAGAGGAGTTGTAATCTCATTTTTGAAGGCTCTTCTTCCCCAAAGGGTCTACTTTCTAATACCTTACCACTGGGGGCGAGGACCTCAATGCTTCAACATATGAATTTTTTGAGATTGGAGGTATAAACATCAATCATAGCAATCTGTGTGTGTGTGTGTGTGTGTGTGTGTGTGTGTGTGTGTGAATAGGCTTTTAAAAGAATAGGAAAATTGAGGTCAGAGTGAAATTGAGCACTCAGTGCTGATCCTGATCCTGCTACTACTAGTGTATTTTAAAGAAAAATCTCCTTTTTGTCTAATATTAACTGTCTTGTACAAACTTTTTTCTTGCTCATATTTATGGCTCATATATTATGTGATTCTGTTACATAGTATTCTTGACATGACAAAAATCATAGACAGAGAAGAAATAAAGAAGAAATAAGAGACTGGTTTCTAGGGGTTAAGGTATAAAAAGGAAGTATGGGGAAATTAATTTTTCTTCACCATATCAGTGTCAATATGAAGTTTATGATTTTACTACAGTTTTGCAAGATGTTATTATCGGGTAAATTGGGCAAAAGGCACATGAGATTTCTCCTTTCTGACAACTGCCTCTAAGTCTACAATTATTTCAGAATAAGGTGTTTAATTTATTTCCTTTACTATATTCTGTTGAAGTTTATATGCATCATTCTCACTATATACGACTGTTATCCAAACAGTATCTACCTTTAGGGTTGAGAACAGAATATGGTACCAGACTTTGTTCAGATAGTCCTACCTTTCATCAGGTACTATAGAGAAGTATGTTAAGGTTTTCTCTCAGGCTGGGAAAAATTTCCATATTTTTGGTTGGAAGACCAAAAGTAGGGATTAAAAGAAAAGAGGGCTGGGGAGATTGTAGTGAAGACCAAGCTCAGGAGAGTCATTTCCTGGGGTGGAATGTAAACTTCAGTTGCACATATGCTGATCTTACCTAAACAGTGTGTCAATGGCTTTGGGACTTGAACTACAGGAAGGGCCACTGCCCAAGTTCCACATTGGCCACTATAGTCATATACATAGAGACTGAGTAAAATGGGCAAGTTCTAAATAGCACAGTAAAGACTGTGAGGACTGAACAGACATGTAGCTAGAGTCCACAGAAGATAGATTTAAACTTGTGGCATTACCCCAGCTAGATGAAATGCTTTGTTAAAAAAAATCTTATCCTTAGCATTTAAACAAGACACAGGCTCTCAAATCATACTATTTGAAATATCTAGAATATGATCTAAAATTATACAGTTTATGAAGAACTAGGAAAATCATGAACTGAGAAAAAAGTAGACAATAGTCACCAATCCTGAGATAACACATATATTGAAGTTATTGAAGACTATCAAACCACTGTTACATTTGTTTTCTATAGATCCTGCAGCAGATTTCCTCAGCTTTGGTGGCTTTAACAATATAAATTTGTTATCTTACATGTCGGGAGGTCAAAATTCCAAAACAGATCTTCCTGGGCTGATATTAAGTGGTTGACAGAATGCAATGTCTTCTGGAGGAAGCTCTAGAGGAGAAAAAAAACAAAACAAAACAAAAAACAAACCTTATTTCCTGGCCCTTTCCAGTTTCTAGACAGTCTGTTTTTCTTGGATCTTCCATCTTGAAAGCTAGCAACATTGGGCTGATTCCTTCTCATGCTGCCATCTCTCTAGCTTTTCCTCTTCTGTTTCTGTCTTTTGAGGATTCTGATTACATTTAGCTCTTAGGATTTTTTGAAATTGCTTTTCTCATCTCTGTTTCACTCATTTCTATAAATTAGAAAAATAATAGTAAAGAATAATAAGCTAGCAGCTAGTTTTATTAAAAATGCAAATAGTTATCTAGACTAAGAGAGAACCAAGACTCAAATATATAAAATCAGAAATTTAAAAAGGTGATACCATGACTGACACCACAGAAATACAAAAGATCGTAAAAGGCCAGCATGAAAAATTATAAGCCAAAAGTTGGATATAGAAGATATAAGCAAATTCCTAGAAATATACAACTTAACAAGTCTGAATCACGCAGAAATATAGAATCTGGTCACAGCAATAATTTAAAAAAACCTCTTTTATCAAGAAAAGCCCATGAGCATATGCCTGTAATTCCAGTACTCTGGGAGACTGAGGACAAAAGGATCACAAGTTTGAGACTAGCCTGGGCCACTTTGCAACTTGTGTCCATTTCAAAATAAAAAATTTTAAAAGGACTGTAAATGAACTCAGTGGAAAGGGACTGGGTTTACTTCCCAGTATCAGAAAAATAATTAAAAAAAAAAACTCAGGACCTGAAGGTTAACAGCTAAATTATACCAAACATTTAAAAAATTAATACGAGCTTTTCTAATTCTTTCAAAAAAGTTGAGAGGAATAAATACGTCCAAACTCATTTTACAAAGCCAGTATTACACTGATTGCAAAGCCTGACAAGTACACTAGAAAAATAGAAAATTATAGGCCAATATCCCCAATGAACATAGATGTAAGAATTCTCAATAAAATACTGGCTAACTAAATTCACCATCACATTAAAAGGATCATTGATCATGATCCAATATGATTTATTCCAGGAATAGTTCAATACACACTAATAAACCAGTCACTCAGTCAATATATACACCACACCAATAGGATGAATGACAAAACCCATGTAATCATATGCACAGACACACAAAATGTTGACAAAATTCAGCATCCTTCCATAACAATAACTCTCAATAAATTGGGTATAGGAAGAATGTACCCCAACATAATAAGGACATATGTGTATGACTAGCCCACAGTTAACCTCATAATTAGGAGTGAAAGTTGAAAGCTTTTATTCTAAGATTACAAATAACTCACAGTTACCCACACCATATCTATTCACCATAGTACTGCAGGTCTTAGCCAGAGCAATTATACAAAAACAAGCAAACAATAAAAAAAATCTGCATTGGAAAGAAAGATACTAAATTGTTTGAAGATGGCCTGACCTTATACGCAGAAAACTGCAAAGACTTCACAAAAGCACCTATTTGAACCAATAAATAATTTGGTAATGTTAAGGGATATAAAGTCAACACACAAATTAGAAACACTTCTATACATTAATAACAAACTATCCAATAAAGGAACCAAAAAATAATCTAGTGTACATTAGCATCAGAACAAATAAATTTCTTAGGAATTAAAGACATATACACTGAAAATGGTAGAACATTAATGAAAGAAATTGAAGACATAAATAAATGGAAAGATATCCATTGTTCATAAAAACTAATATAATTCAAGTGTCCACATTACCCCAAATGAACTACAGATACAATGTAATCCCTATCAAAATTCTAATGACATTTCATAAAAGTAAAAATAGATTCTAAACTATGTATGAAACCATAAAACCCTGAATAACCAAACATAACAAAACTGGAAGCACTACAGTGTCTAATCCCAAATTTGCTACAAATTATAGTAATCAAAATAGTATGGTACTGGCACAAAAACAGTGAAGGACCAATGGAACAGAACAGAAAGCCCTGACAGGATAAATCCATACACATATGGTCAATTGATCTTTATGAAGATGCCAAGTACATAAATGAGGAAAGGATAGTCTTTTTAATAAATGATGTTGGAAAAAGTGGTAATCCACATACAGAAAGGTAAGTGGACCCTTATCTCACACCATGTAAAAAAATAAACTCAAAGTGGATTAAAGACTTAAATGTAGTCTAAAATAGTGAAATACTAGAAGAAAATACATTTTATTAACAAGAAAAAGTGTCTTAACAAAGAAATTTTGGCAAAGATTTTTGGCTTTTGATCCCAAAAAGATAAGATGTTGAAGCAAAATAAGACAAATGGGATTTCATCAAAAAACTTCTGTACAGCCAAGAAAATAATCAACATAATGAAGAGACAACCTTTGGAAAGGGAGAAATATTTGAATATGGAGTTAATAATTAAAATATATGAGAAACTCAAAACATAAGAAATACAATAGTCTATCAGAAAATAAAACTTTTAAAACATTAATAAAATAAATATTAATAAATGAATGGAAAGATATCCATGTCCACAGAGTTGCATAGATAGTTGAATAGTAAAAGAATCATATCACAGTGACATATTCACACCCATTTTATAGAGGCACAGTTTGTAATAGCTAAAACTTGGAAACAGTCCATTTGCCCATCAACTGGTGTCTGGATAAAGAAGATGTGGTTTTTAAAATATAATATGTAGTACTACTCAGCCATAAAGATCGAGAAACTGGAGACATTTATAGCTAAATGGATGCACATTGAGGGCATACTCTTTTTTTTTTTTTTGGTATAGAGGATCAAACTCAAGCTCTAGTGCTTGCAAGGCAGTTGGTGGAACCACTGCGCCAAATCCCTGGCCCAAGGGCATAATCTTAAGTGAAATAAATAGTACACTCTGGTGTGAGAAACTGTTTTTACAGCATTATTCACAGTAATCATGAAGGAATGAATGGACAAAGAAAATGTGTTGCACACAAATTTTAATACTAGTTACCCTTAAGAAAATGAAATCCTGTCATTTGTAACAACATGAATGAAACTGGAGTACCTGCCAAGTGAAATAAGCCAGATCATCAAAGCAAGCACTGTGCTACATGATATCGCTTATACAGCATATGGAATCTAAAAAAGCTGAATGCAGAAGCAAAAAGTAGGATGGTTATTACCGGGGGGTAGAGGTGGGTTATTGAGAAGGATGGGAGGATGTTGGTCACAGTGTACAAAGTTTCAGTTAGACAGGGTGAATAAGCTCTGGAGGTCTATTATACAGCATGGTGTCTACCATTAATTAATAATAATGTACTACATACTTAAAAATTGGTAAGGGAGTAGATTTTAAATGCACCCTCAAATGATTGCTAGGTGAGGTGAGAGATATATTAACTTGATTTAATTATGTCACAATGTATATATATGTCAAAACATCACATTATATACCATAACTATATATAATTTTGCCAATTAAAGAACAAATGAATTATTAAAAGAAAAACCTTTATCACCACAAACAGAAATTCTGCTACCATTAAGCAGTAACTCCCTATTCTCCTCTCTCTGAGAAGATTCTTACTGTTCCTGGCAAATAGTTACAAACTCTTATGTACTCATGGAGCTTGTATATCTGTTAGATTACACACTTTTGGTGAGATAAATTTACATGCTATTTCTCTCTTGAAATTGGACTAAGAGTATAGTTTTATTAGCTGCAAATGCACTTGTGTGTTTTTCTTTTTTAATTTATTGGTGATAACTCTTATGTAAAGAACATTTAGAAAATGAAAGTAGAGAATATTCTAAGATGAGAAGCAATAAAAGTAAATCACAAAATTATTTTTCAATGCTTCAACTATAAATGGTTCCAGTTAATTAATTAGTTAATTAATTAATTTTTGTAGAGCTGTAATTGAACTCAGAGCTTTTATACTGAGCTACGTCCCCAGCTCTTCCCCCTTCCTTCCTTCCTCTTTCCTTCTTTCCTTTTTCCTCCCCTCTTATTTTTAAATTTTGTAGCTGGATTCCTTTGCTTCCCAGAGGGCTGGAATTATAGGCTTGTATAACCACACCCAGTTTAAGTTCTTTTAAAATGTCAAGTAATGAAATGGTAAAAATATTTTTACGCTAAACTGAGAGATTAAATGTTAAGATGACTATTATATGAAAATCTAATATCAACTGGGAAATGAAACTATCAAAGGCTAGATAAAAAATCAGACAAAAGAAAGAGGCATTTCAGAAAAAGAAATATACAAGTATTTGAAGGAAAATAAAGTAGAAACACTGAAATGAGAATAAATATAATTAATAAATAATCAGCTCCCACTTTCACTTGTGAAATTTGAAAATACTTTCATTGACAATGTTGTATAATTTTATAAAAAATATTTCAATTGATGAATTTTGTAAAGGAGATTTAGTCAACTGAGATATCCAATGAATATTCCTTTCTCCTGGTAAGCAGGCAGCTATTAATGTCATCAATCAAAAGGTGAATTTCTGTGAATCTTTCATTGATATAGCTACCTAATTATTAGAATATGATATGTATTATATTACAAAATTATTTTGACATAATTAAATATCTTACTGCAGAAAAACCTTTTTTTGTTTCAATTTTCTTTTTTGAGACAAGGTCCCACTATGTAGTATAAGCTGGCCTTGAACTTATTATATAGCCCAGTCTGACCTTGAATTTGTGTCGATCCTCCTGCCTCAGCCTCCTGAGTGCTGGGATTACAAGTGTTCATCACTATTTCCAGCTGTTCCAGAAAAATTTTTGACAATTGTTATGATGCAGGAAATAATATATTTGGACTTCAAGCTTTTCTGTACAAATATTAAATAGCAGTTGGCTATCAGAAAATGAAGCAAAACCAAAACAAACAAGACATCTGGTGTAATGGCACAGGCCTGCACTCCCTGGGTTCTGGGAGGTCCATTGGTTAAATGTGCTTCTATGATATGACTGTGATAGGACATGAACAGATTTTAGATTGATGAAAGTACTCCTCCAGTTACTCCATTGTGCATCTATTAGTTACTCCTCAGTTACTCCATCTATCGTATATGATAGAACTTATTGTCAGGTGAATAAGCATTTTATTTGAGCAAATCTTTCTTTATACTCTAGGTAAGAAACATTATTTATAACCATTATATATTGCTACAGCATCCAGAGAGACACTACTCAGTTTCCCATGTTGTTTAATATGGGTATACAATCTTTATTAAAAAGGGGATAATTTAAAAATTCAGTAAGAAAATAATCACATGTTTATTATATCTAGTAAATTGTTTTAGTCAATGACAATCCAAAGAAATCATCTTCTGACAGTAAAGAAGTTACACTATATAGAAATTAATTTCTATAGATCCATAAGTGAAACCTAGTTACAATTTATTTCCAATAACTTCAAGCTTACATATATAAAGTGAACCATATTAATTTATATTGAAAAACAAGCTATTATCTGCTGTGAATATATATACATATATATATTATATACAATAAATGTATCCTTTTCCTTTCAATATTTCAGTTCATGTTCCACTTGAGAAACTCCATCACCCTGAAATCATGGAGCCTCTTCGAAAAATTTCCACACTCTGAAACGTTTCAGAACTCAACAGTTTCACCAACAGAAATTGAACTGACAATCAGGGAGATCCTGGAGAAAATGGATCAGCTGATCCCAGCCAGACCCTTTACCCATTTGAATGCCACCAGTAGTGCTGCACACAGCGTGGCCACCATCCTCAACCCTCAAGACACATACTGCAGTGGGGACCAGCTGGATGTCTTTCTGGAGGTGAGGGATCACCTGGGACACAGGAAGGAATATGGTGGGGACTTCCTGAGAGCCAGGATGTCCTCCCCATCCCTGAAGGCTGGTGCATCAGGAAAGGTGACAGACTTCAACAATGGCACCTACCTTGTCAGCTTCATTCTGTTCTGGGAGGGCCAGGTCTCCCTGTCTGTCCTGCTCATGCACCCCAGTGAAGGGGCATCAGCTCTCTGGAGGGCAAGGAACCAAGGCTATGACAGGGTGATCTTCATGGGCCGGTTTTTAAATGGCACTTCCCAAGTCCTCTCTGAATGTGGCCTGACGCTCAACTCAAGTGCTAAGCTGTGCCAATACCTGGATGCTCGAGACCAAGAAGCCTTCTACTGTGTGAAGCCTCCACACATTCCCTGTGAGGCTCTGACCCACATGAGCACGAGAAACAGAGGCATTTCCTATCTTAGCAAGGAAGAATGGAGACTTCTCCAAAGGTAAACCTGCCTTCAAATACAGTAAGAACAACAGGAAGGTAGACTTTGAATCATACTAAACTCTAATCAAGCTGTCTTATGTCAACTAATGTTGACTGAATTAAAATTACCAGTCAGCTCATCTAGTATTATGCTCACAAGACCCACGAGGGCCTTTGTGAAAAGGAATATAACCAATGAAGTTCTGTACATAGTATGTACATTTTGCTTTTCGACATTGTTTGTAATACTCCAAATTCAGTAATTTTTATTTAAAAAATTTAATTAATTATTTATTTATTTATTTATTTTTGCAGTACTGGGGATCAAACTCTGGACCTTGTGCTTGCCAGGCAGGTGTGGTACCACTGAACTATATCCCAGGCCACAAAATTCAGTAATTTTTATAAATCTGCATTTAGTATAATGTACTACATGGAATACTAATACTACCAGTATTATTAGGGGCTATGCCAGAGAAGTGAATAGTGTCATTATTCAGTTTACTTTACCCTTTAATTCCATGAATCATGAAATTCATACATTGCCAGCTACAGTCTATCGATCCCAGTTACCTCTATCTTTGAATAAGCTATCATCACACCTCAAACTATGTGACAATCTCCGCAGCTGTTTTCTTTCAAGCTATTCTCTACACTGCATCTAAACTCATGTTTCTGAAATGCAAATGTGCTTTTTAAGAACCATGAGTGGGGGAGGCAGGGCTTCAGCGGGCATCTGTGGGTATCAGGAAGCTTTGAGGGCCAACAACATGTCTCACAGGCCCATCACGTGACACCAAGAAGGTTCTCAATAACTGCTGAATGAACGAGTAAATGGCATGCAAAATGAGATAGTGATTAAATCAGATTCTTTGCAGCAGGATGTCTCAGAAACTTTAATACTTTCAAACAGGGAAAAAATATTTTTTGATCTTCTTTGACTGGAGAATGCTTACTTTATGGGTCATTTAAGAGACTTTGGTTCCACAGATTGGGAAATGATGCTATACACATGCCTTAGTTTTCTGGCATACATTCAGAAGAGCAAATTGGATAGAATAGTATCCTGTAAATTCAAGTTCAAATTCAATTCAAACATTACAATGAGAGGGAAGAGGGCACACATGATCCTACATCTCTATAGAATTTCCCTTCTACTCTTGCCTTAACTTCACTTTTTGATTTTATCATCAAAATATGTAAATATCCCTTATCCTATGGCTTGGCCAAAAGATACTGAGCTTTTTCAAATAAAATTTTTATTAATAAACACAGGAAAAATGATCATGGAGACATAGAAAAGCATTTCGATTTTAAAGAGTTCAGAATTGTGTCTCAGCTCTCAGGTGGAGGACATTTGTGCCAATTTCTTACTTTCTGTTGACCACATTGCCATCCCTCTAGAGTTGGTCTTCACTGAGGCCTGGCTAGGAGGAAGTGTTTGGCACAGTCTCCCAAATGTGTTAGGAAATCCAAAGTTGCTGGTGTGGCAGATCTTCATATATTTAAAATCCTAATCATATTTCTCAAAGGGGCTGTACTTATGGCATTAATGTGTTTTACTTCCCAAATAGACACATTTCCTTCTCAGATCCCTTACTTTATTCAAACTGTAAAATTTTTTTCCCCATTGCATGGAGATAGATACTCATGTGATTTAGTGCTTATGCAAGGAGTTGGCTCACAGGTGATTAAGCAACCAAGAACGATCAAGAGTTGCTAAGCTCTATGGCCCCTTCTTAGATCAGAGCCTGTTCTAGGACATCTTTCCTGTCCATGACCCAGAACTAAGCCTGTTTCACTTTCATTTGTAACTTAGTAATACATTTTCTTATTGGGCTCTGTCGAGTACCTAGTGTTGCTCTGATAATACTTGTTGGGACAGTCTGATCTGGGCATATTTACAATGCCCTTTGACAGGGCAAGAAACTTGGGAATGCAAAAGGGGCATATTAGGGGCCTGTTAAGGCCACATTAGCGGCTTGGTGACAAATGCCTTAGTATTTTTGTTAAAGATTGATATGTAGAGTCTAACATTATAGACCTTTTTCTAAATGTAATGTACCATGTACACAATTAGAAAGACAAACATTGTTAAATGAATGCCTTCATATTATCTATCTATCTATCATCTATCTATCTATCTAATTTTTTTGGTACCGGGGATTGAACTCAGACCTTGCCTCTGTGAGGTAGGCAGTGGAACCACTGAGCTAAATCCCCAGCCATCAATACATATTTTAATCCTACTTTAATATACCATAAATTTGTCAACAAAATTTATAAGATCTTCGTCTCTTTTACCATTCCCAACCTTACCTGGGATAGACGAAGGAGAATAAATGCTTCGATCAGGTTCAAATTCCTACTAAAACAGATTTTAATCTTGGACCAAAGATGGGAATCTTTGGGCCAAAGATGGGAATCTAATGGGAATCTCAGTAATAATAATTTGACCATTGTTGAATACCTACTACATGGTTCATGCCTCCTTTCTGTTACACCTTTAATCCCCAGGAAAATACTCTGGATTGACTGTTATTATTCCCACCATAGAGATGAAGCACATACATATTAAATAGGTTGGCCAATGTCAAGCTATTGATCTAGTGAGCTGCAGAACCATAACTGAAGTCACAGTGTACCTTTTCTCAAGTCAGTGAACCACAGAACAGTCTCACAAGATCCCCAACATTCTAGGTAAACATCACTTTCCAGCTACCCTGGCCTCTCAGTTTTCCAGCCCTAAGAAGCCCTCAATGAAATGAAATGTGTCTTATTCTGATGATCTAAAAACTCCTTTCCAAGGATTTAGGCCATCCTTCTCAATCTTGGAAAACATTCATTTTATTTATCCTAGAGCTTTCTAAGATTGTGGCTCTGGAAGTCCTACCTTCCCCAAGATAAATTACATACTGATAGAATAAATTTGACTTGGCCAGGTTTAATGCTTAGCACTGATATAGTGAGGCAATGTTTACTGTGCTGGGCACTTGGAATACTATAGTGAATAAGAATGGCCTGATTCTACTCTCAAGCAGGTAGTAGGCTATGGAAAATAGACTCCTGGGGACTTGTGAAGGTGGAGAAGGGATGAAGCTGAAGCTGGAGAGTTAGACACTCATAGGAAGTTGTGACCAGGTTGGCTTTTGTCCTATAGGTGATGTAGGCTGGTGATGAAAACTTGAGGGAAAAATTTGTATGGTAGAATAAAGCAGGCAGCAGAGAGGTTGGATTAAACCAAAAGAGCAGGAAGGTAACAATAATCTAGGACAGAATTCTCAGTCAGGTCCCTGGGCCAGTAGCTTCCACTTTGCCTGAGAGTTTATTAGAAATCCAAATTCTTAAGTTTCATCTCTGAACTACTGAATCAGAAATTCTGGGCTAAAGGCTCAGCAATCTAATTCATACCAAATATTCCAGGTAATTCTGATGGATACTTGGATTTGAGGAGCACTGGCCTAGCAAAAGTTAATAAGCTATGTGTAGAGCTGCATGGGTATAATCCCAGCACGCTGGCAGGTTGAGGCAAGATCATAAGTTCAAGCCAATTCTGGGTAACTTACTTGGATTTGAGGAGCACTGGCCTAGCAAAAGTTAATAAGCTATGTGTAGAACTGCATGGGTATAATCCCAGCACGCTGGCAGGTTGAGGCAAGATCATAAATTCAAGCCAATTCTGGGTAATTTAATGATTTGGTGAGACCCTGTCTCAGAATAAACGGATAAAAAGGGGCTAAAATCTCCACTAGTACAGGTGCCAGAGAGTTGATAGGGTTCAAATTATTATGGGTCGCTAAACCCCTAGATTCTCTACCATCAGCTAGGGATAGTTTTCCAACATTCTGACCAATTTATTTCCCTAGAATATCTTAAATGGATTTGCTCAAAATATATTATTGCATGTTTGAAAATGCTACAATGAAACCCTTTATTCTGTGTAATTAATATGCACTAATAGAAAATTTAAAAAAATAGATCAAAATAATGGGGAAAAAAGCATTTTTGGAGTGTTAAGAGTGGTTCAACCAATCTAAACCAGTGAAACATTCTTACTCTAACATCTGGACAAATGTTAGACTAACTTATTTTCCCATTTCTTGAAGGTCCAACACAGGGATTGAAATGTTGAAGAACTTTGCCTCCATCAAAGTTTTACCATGTAACAGTGAGTCTAGTCTGCTTTTACCTGTGTATTTACAATTTATTAATTTAAAGGAATGTTTGTTCTACATTGGCCACTTTGATTTCTCACTTCCTAGGATGCATGATTTGTGTATCAACCACCTTAGATGTTAAAGAAGGAATTTTATTCTTGAAAATTATTTTCATCTCTCTTTAAGCCAATTCTCATTCTGAGTCAGATATACTAGTTCAAGAAAACCAATAATTTTAGTTGCTTTCTCTCAAAATATACAAGTTATTTGTATTCCCACTTATTCCCTAAAAGCCAATAACTGGGTGCTGATGCTATATAAAATGTCTCCAATGAGCTGCACAAATTCAGAATTAGAAAATTTTCTGGTGGATTTTAAATTCTCTTTCAGCCAAATCATCTCACTTAAAGTTTTATGAACTAGAAATGTCTGTGGATTGTATTTTCAGTTTCGTCACATGAATTTTGAAGGTTAAAAGAAAGTCATGTTCATAAAATGATGTTTCTGATACACTAGAATTAAAGTTAATTTCAGGAGAGTAAGTGATATCCCTTATAGCATTTTTTTTTTTTTTTGGTACCTGCGATTGCAGGCCACCAATCCACTGAGCTAAATCCCCAGCCCCCTTATAGCATTTTTAACAGTAGTACATAATGATTACATTTTTCATGGGGAGTTTTGCAGGATAAATAATTCTTGATTGAAAGTTGTTACCTTTTAAGTTTGAAACAGTTCACTCTAAGCTCTCCTGGCTTTCAAGGTTTGTGTTGAGAAGTCTGATGAAATTCTGATGTGTTTACCTTTACAAGTGACTTATTGCTTTTTTAAAAAATAGTATTTAAGATTTTGTTTCTATGTTGAACTTCTGGTATTTTGACTGTGATGTAATGTGAGGGGTTCTCTCTCTCTCTCTCTTTGGTACCAGGGATTGAATTTGGGACCTTGTGCTTTCCACATTTTGTTGCCTTGTCTTCTCATGTTTCTATTTTTTTTTTGTTTGGTTTTGTTGTTTTATGCTTAGGCATGTAGTAGGGATTGAATTTGGGACCTTGTGCTTTCCACATTTTGTTGCCTTGTCTTCTCATGTTTCTATTGTTTTTTTTGTTTGGTTTTGTTGTTTTATGCTTAGGCATGTAATTGCTTATCATGAAAATACTTTGCTCCTATCATAGTAATCTCTTTAGTTAGTCTGCTGCTCAGTTATGCATTCAACCACCTCTGTTAATATGGAGGGTGGTAGTTCAGTGTAATTAGCCTAACATTCAGCTTTCTGTTTATGGACCATGGTATTGTTAATGTCACAAAGGTAATCTAGGTATTGCCATACAGGGAAAACCTATTAATATCAACAACTATGTGACCCTGGCAATATCAAGTAAATAAGCAACAGTAATATCTTCCAAGACAAACTAGATACTGACGTAAGTACCAATAATGTACAACCCTTAACCTGAGAAAAGAAATCTACAATTACAGTATAAACCCTAAGATAAACCACACATTGACATATAGGGTACATCTACTAAATGTGGTAACTATACCTCTATTAATGATAGGAAATAATTTAACAGTAGTGGCATGGAATTAGCTGCATGAAGATTAATAAAGCTTAATGTTTATATTATTAAAGATATAGGAGTTGGGAATGGGAGAATGCAAGACAAAAAATTTGAAAAATTGAACAATAGGAGAGAACAAGGAGGAGAGAAAAGTACTAAAAAGGAGCCTATGATGGAGTAGATACTTAAAGAATTATAAAAAATGAGATATAGAAGATAAAATAAAAAGGGAGAAAAAAGTGGAGAACAGAAAAAAATAAAAGGGAAAAAGAAAAGAAAAAGAAAAAAAGAAAGAAACTTAGTCCAAAAACTGAAAAACAATTTTTCTCTGTATTTTTGAATGAGTAGTTTCTTTCTAGGATCCACAGTTTTGGAGTCAGCAAGTCTCAGTTTTTCCACCTAACTTTATGGCCAGGGGTTTGTGAGGTGTTCCTCTTATTCCAAAGGCCCCTCTTTTTACCCCAGGTTGTGACAATGTCCACACTGAGACGTGTCCTTGACAACACTGGTGAATAAGGAGGGCAATCAGACCTCAGATCTGTGGTGGATGTAGGCAGCAGTACAAGGGCTCAAGTACTTAATGCTAATAGACACTTTTGCACCCAGCTGCTTCTAAGTGCAATTCAAACCGGGCCTGGCTTCCCACTGTGGGGCATTGGGCTGGTGTCATTTCCAGCCTGAATTTAAAATTCTTGGAGGATCTCTTTCTGGCCTGATCCCTGTCTGTGGCTATCTCCTGTGGCTGTTTAGCACCCAGTCACTGTGGGAGGGTAACACTAGGAGCCCTGAAGTGAGTTGTTTTTAGTTGTTCTGAGGCTCTGATTTAAATGATCAAACCCTCCCTGCAATGGCACTTGATCAAGCACTCTCTGCCTATATAGTGAGTGCCCAGACTGATGTCCCTTTCTGGCTGTTGCTTACTACAGGGAAGGAGTACCCTCAGAGAAAAATCCAGTGATGTTTTGTAGTTCACAATGGCCATGACCTCCATTGCTATTTCTCCTGGGATATTCCAGCCCTGGGTGCTTACCTTGCTTCTAAGGAGCCAGATTCCTCTCCCTGCAAACCTGGAGAGCCAGAGAGTCTAAATTGTTTCTTGTTTTGCATAGTGGATCACCTTTCCAACTTCTCTGTAGCTTCTAATTTTCTTTCCTTTTCTGGTGATCTGCATCTTTTTTTTCTGCAGTAAGTTGTTGTTTTCTAGAGTTTGGATTTCAGATCTCAGAGAGGCTGAATTTTGCTGTTAATCACCAAACTGCCAATTTCTTTCTTCCTGTAACATTTAATAGGTACACATTTATTCACTATTCCTTTTTCATGCAAATGTTTACTGTAGATCTACTGTATGCAAAGAACTGTGCTAAACCCTGTGGAGAATACAAATAAATCATGAACACAGATCCAAAGCTCACAGTCTATGAGAATGATATATCACTTCTCTGCCTGGGCAGCCATCATCCCTGCCCAACTTTTATGCCAAAGAAAGTTCTTAGATTCTTGAGGCAATTCTTAAGTCTTTATTACACCTTTATTACTTCACTTCTACCTGGGTAGTAATTTTGATTAAAGTGAAGTCAGTTCTTAAAAGATAGTGTCATATAGTTATTTTTTTGGAAGCACTTACATGTCTGTTTTAATTCAATTGAATAAATGTAAGGTCTTAAATTTACACTTCAAATCTCAACAATATAGATGACGACAAAAATGTGGTTTTTAGGTGGCAAATATACAAGTGCCTTCAGAATCTTACCTGGGTGAAAACTCAATAAGAACTGGTGACCATAGTTTAGATTATTTCATTAGTGGAGCATTCAGAACAAGGAGTTATAAAATGGTCTTACTTTTTTCTGCACTAGTCAGACCACATGAGAATATTATGTTTGGTTCTAGATATATTTAAACATTTAAGATATTTGTGATTAACCAAAGAATAATCATGGAACACGCAAAATAAGTATATTAATAATAATTAATATAAAACTAGTATATTAATAAATGTGTGAACTCATTTCATAAACATTTTCAAGCTTCTTTCAAGGGTAAATAGTTTGAGGAAGAGAGTTACAATTCAGCAAGGCCAATATCATTGGTGAAATATTCAACTAGACCACTGAATTCTGCTATTTCACGGCCACATATTTTCTCCTAACTTTGGTCAGCTGTCTCACAGTTGAGTGGACTAGTGGCCAAGGTAGACCCCAAGGGAACATTGTGAATGCACAAGGGAAAATTGATCCCTGCTCCCTGAAAAACTGTTCCAAGAGAACTTTGAATGCATCCCTTTAACATGATTTCATTAGATAAATATTTGGGGAAGAAAGCGCAGGAACAGAGATGAAAAGAAGGATGAAAGGAAAAGAGAAAGGAAGGGAAAATGAGGAAAGTATTTCACAAATAATTTGCAGTAATAAAAATGACTTATCTGGGAATTTTTATTGCCAGAGAGTGCGAATACAGAAAAGAAATGCCAGGTGGGAATGAAGACCCCTTTCCCCAGTGGTTATACTTTGAAAGGAAGTTGGATAACAACATTTTGCAAACAAACCAAGTTCAATACAGCAAAAAGTATAAGCGACTGTTTGCAAAGAAAACTTGTTTACCTCATGGGAGATTCAACACTACGCCAGTGGATTTACTATTTAAAAGATTTTGTGAGAAGTATGTATTTTATTTTTATTTTGAAGTTACAGTTGATTTTTGGAGTTCTAAAAATAATGATTAGAATTCTTTCCTTTCCTTTTGTGATCTTTGTTTAGTTATTAATTTTAATATGATAAACTTGGCTCCTGGCTTTTAATAAAAAGTTAAAATTTACTTTTTCAATCACAGATACTAATGCTATTCTATTCTTTCTCTTCATGTATTCTTAAAAATCAGAATTTATTAATATTTCAATGCTCCTAGTAAAATTTTCTACTTTGCACATTCTCTAGTAAGAGGTGATGTTGGTTAGAACTTTTCAGATGTTTTATGTTTTAAAGTTATATCATTTTCCCTTTGTTAAAAGATTTGTTGATTTGTTTTCCATCAGCCTTAAAATATTTTGATCATCATGGAACTGGGCTTTTTAAAACACATATTCTTCTGGATATTGAAAGACACATTTTGATTCAGTGGAGAAAACATAGTCATCCATTTGTTACCCAACAAATATTCTCTCTGAAAGATGAAAACTATATCCCAAGGGAAATTGACCAGGTGGCAGGAGACAAAGACACAGCAATTGTCATCACCATTGGCCAGCACTTCAGACCTTTTCCCATCAGCATCTTCATCCGCAGGGTTGTCAATATTAAAAAGGCCATTGAACGTCTATTCTTACGAAGCCCGGAGACCAAGGTGATACTTAAAACTGAAAACACCAGAGAGGTACATCAAAATGCAGAGATGTTTAGTGACTTTCATGGCTATGTCCAGAATCTTATCCTAAGGGATATCTTTGCGGATCTTAATGTGGGTATTATTGATGCCTGGGACATGACAGTTGCATATCTCACTAATAATGTGCACCCACCTGATTATGTTATCGCAAATCAGATTGGCATATTCTTAAGCTACATTTGCTAGAGGAAAAATACATTACCCATTCTCAATTAATGATTTCATATATACTGCAAAAATAGTTTAATGTAATTCAAGGCATGAGAAAATAAAATTCTTAGCTAATTTAAATTGTAATTAAGAATATATATATATGTAATATATATATATAAAAGAATATATATAATTTACCATTGAAACTATCATAAGTATACAATTCAGTGGCATTAAGTACATTTACAATGTTGTGAAGCCATCATCTGATCAATTTCCAGAATGTTTTTATCATCTCAGATAGAAACTCTGTACCTATTAAACAATAATTCCCTTATATCCTTCACCCCTAGGCACCAGAAATACTATTATATTTTCTGTCTATGAATTTGCCTGCTCATATAAATGGATTTATATAAAGTATCTATCATCTTGTATCTGGCTTATTTTACCTTAGCAGAATGTCTTTTAAGATTTGTCCATGTTGTAGCTTGTATCAGAATTTCCTTTTTAAAAAAGTGAATTAATGTTATTCCTTTGCATGTAACACATTTTGCTTATCCCTTCATCTAGTGAAGGACATTTGAGTTGTTTTCACCTTTTGTACACCTGTGAATGATGCTACTGTGAAAAGAAAACAAATTTTGTTTAAAATTTTTTTTGTGTGTGATAGCAGGAATTGAACATAGGGCCTCACTCTAGGCAAGTACTTTACCACTGAGCTACAGCCAAGCCCTCAAATTTTGAAGACATGTCTCCCATTCTGAGCTTGATGTTTATATAAATAGTATACTGTCATCATCCATAATTTAATTTTAAGAAAGATATAGCCATAAATGCATAGCCTAAATGATTTAAATTGACAGAAAATGTGTTTATATAGGACTATAATAGTAGTCTTTTTGCTTAGAAAAATTACTTGAAATTTGGTAACCAATTGTTTTCTAGATTCCATTAGGATTCATGGATCACAATACAAAATCTATAAGCTCATCAACAGAAACCAATTTAATATTATTATGTCAGTGTACAGATCCTGAAATCTTGACATTTACTGACCCTAAAAGTATGGTGGTATAATATGGGATCACTACAGAGGACCTCAAATTACTTCATAAACTTTACTTTTGCATCTTCCTCTTATTATAATAGTAATCACCCTTTCCATTAATATATTTTGACCACTAAGAGTCATAATATTGTTTTCAAGAATGATTGACATTTGTATTTCTTTTCTTTTCCTTTCTTTTTTTTTAAGGATGCTGTTGTGGTGTAGTATGTCATTCAAGTTTAGTTTGAACTCACTGTATCCAAAGCTGGCCTTGAACTCACAGTGATCCTCCTGCTTTAACCTATTGAGTTCTAGGATTACAGGTGTGCACCACTGCACCTGGCTGGACTATGTTTTTAAATGAGAGGAAATGAAATTGTAATGCTATAATATCAGTGCAAAGATGAGTTCATCCAATTTAGGACTGGAGTCCTCTACATAAAGAAACTTGGAAACAAGGTCATTTACATTACAAATTAATTCTATTTATTGAACTACTCTTTGGTTCTAATTCTTCCTACAGTAAATATTAAAATAAATCTAGTTATTTCTCTAACCATTTCATCATTAATTGCCTAAGTGAATAATCATTTCACTCAAAGACTTCTTCAAATTTCTTTGACCTAATTTTCGCATGATATAGTGTCTAGTTTCTTTACCATCATTCTTCAAATGCACTGAAATTTGTCTATATCACTCTTTAAAATACCTTCCACCTCATTTCTTACCTCAAAAAATTGAATGTTCTAACTTAAATAGCCAGAACAATGAGGGTTCATAATTTCTCTTTTTCTAGAGCTGCACTGTACAGTATAACAAGCATTAGCCACATGTAATTGTTTAAATCTAAATTGAATTAAAAATCAGTCTTCAGTTGCATGAACAACACAATATTTTCTTGCTTCTTCTACAGACAATATTCTATATGACAATATGTTTTGTTAGTTATAGTATTTGAGTGTTTCTAAAAATAAATTCAGGGAGCCAGGCATGGTGGTACACCCTTATACTCCTAGCACTATGGGAGGCTGAAGCAGGAGATTAAGCAAAATTGAAGCATTAGGCAAACTTACCAAAAAAGGAAAGGAAAGATTCATATCAATGTAATTGGAAATGAAAAAGGAAAAATCAAAATGGATAGTACTGAGATCAAGAAGATTATAAAAGCTACTTTGAAAAAGGTCTAAAGGGGAAGGGAAAGTGAGAGGAGTAGGGGAAAGGAAAGAAGGGAAAGGGAAAATATAAGAAAAAGAAAAAATTGAAATAAAGTCTCTGTAAATAGTGAAGGGGGAGGGGTTGAAGGAAGCACAGGGATATGGGGGAAAAATAAGAACCAAGATATATCATGTAAAGGTAGAAGTTCCCAATGATGAATATCATCATATACCTAAAATGTACCAATAAACTTAATTACAAAAAAGAAGCTATTTCAAAAACTTATATTCCAGGTTGAAAGGAGGCAGGTGGATGGGAAAAAAATAAGTACCAAGATGGATTATGTAAAGGTGCAAATTTCCAATGATGAATGTCATTATATTTTAACTTTAAATGTACCAATGAAATTAATTTTAAAAACTTCTCCAATAAATTGGAGACTCTAGAAGAAATACATTCCTAGACATATATGAATTATAAAATTGATCCAAGAAAATATAAAAACCCTGGATAGAGCAATAACAGGCAATGAGATAGAGGCAGTAATAAAGACCTTACCAAATAAGAAAAACCCAGGTTGCAATGGAATTACTGCTGAATTTTACCTGAACTTCAGAAAGAACTAACTGTAAAACTCATGAAACTCTTGCATGAAATTGAAAGGGAACATTACCAAACTCAAACAGAACGCAACAAATCATTAAAGAGATCATATGTCATGGTCAGCGATACAAGAATAGTTCAACATACATAAATCAATAGATGTAATACACAACATAGGGAGAAGTAATGATAAAAATCACATGGTCATTTTAAAAGATGTAGAAAAAGGCCTTTAGAAAAATCTAACATCCATTCATGGTAAAAACCCTAATGAGGTCTGGGGGTTTAGCTCAGTGGTTCTGCCACCTGCCTTGCAAGCTCAAGGACCCAAGTTTGATCCCCAGTACAAAAAAAAATAAAACAAAACAAAAAAACCAAAAAAAAAACAACCTCAAAAACCCTAATGAAAATAGATATAAAATGACCTTACCTTAACCTGATTTAAGACATTATGACAAACCCATTGTCAGCATCATGCTAAATGGGGGAAAGCTCCTCTAAAAGCAGGAACAAGGTAAGGATTCCTCTCTCACTACTTTTGTTCAATATAGTACTAACAATTTTAATTACAGGGATCAAATAAGAAAAGGAAATAAAAGGAATTTGCTGGACATGGTGGCACATGTCTGTAATCCCAGAACTTGGGAGGCTGAGGCAGAAGGATCACTATGAGTTTATGGTGAGACTGGGCTACATAGCAAGACCTTGTCTAAAAAAAAAAATGATATTTGAATACAAAGTGAAGGCATCAAACTATCCTTTTTGCAAATGACATGATCCTTGATATAGAAAACCAAAAAATGTCTACCAGAAGACTCTTAGATGAATTCAGGACATTGGCAAGATACAAAACAAACACACAAAAAGTCAATAGCATTTCTATACACCAACAATGAACTCACTGAGATAGAAGTTAGGAAAACAATCACATTCATGAAAGCCTAAAAAAATTTAAATATCTAGGAAATAACCAAACCAAGGAAGTGAAAGACTTCTGTAACAGAAAACTATATTTCTCTGAAAAAAAAAAAGAGACCAAAGAAGACATTAGAAAATGGAAAGACATTTCCTGTTCATGGAAAGGCAGAACCAATATAAAAATGGCCATACTACCAAAATAATATATAGATTTAGTATAATTCCAATCAAAATACTACCAGTATTTTTCACAGATCTATAAAAATAATTCTAAAATTTATATAGAACCAGAAGAGACCCAGAGAAGCCAAAGCAGTCCTGAGGAGCAAGAGCAAAGCAGGATACAGCACAATCCCAAACTAAAAGTTATATATGAAGCTACAGTAATAAAAACAGCATGTTGACCAATGGAATAGCTTACGCAGAAACAACACCAGGCACAATCGGTTATCTGATCTTTGACAAAAGAGCCAATAACATGCTCAAGAAAAGAAAGCGTTTTTAATAAATAGTGCTTGTGGTTTTTCTATAAAATGGAATATTACTCAGCCATAAAGAGCGAGAGAATAGATTCATTCATAGGAAAATGGATACATATTGAAGATATACTCCTAAGTGAAATAAATAAGTCACACATGTGTAAATACCAAATAGTTTCCCTGGTGTGAATATTCTGCAACAATGCATAAGATTCTAATAAGATTACTGACATTTAGAAATGGGAGGAAAGGAGCTAAAGGTGTAGGGAAGGTGTGATACGTAGGGGAAGAACAAAAAGGGAAAAGAAAAAAATGTGAGAGAATGAAAAGATGAAAATAAAGCATTTGTAGATGGGGAGGGGAGGAGGGGGTGAAGGGAGGGCAGAGGTAAGGGGAAAAAAATGAGAATCAAGACTTGCCATGTAAAGGTACATGATCCCAACAATGAATGTAACTGTACTGTATCCCTAAATGTACCAATAAACTCAATAAAAAAAATAAAAATAAAAAAAATAAATAAATAGTGCTGAGAAAACTGTTTGACCACATACAGATCCATATATCTAGATCCATATATCTAGATCCATATATCTCATCCTACACTAAAATAAAATAAAAATGGTACAAAGACCTGGATATTAATCAGAAACACTGAATCTGCATAGGCAAGGACTTCCTGAACAGAGCACCAATTGTTCAAGATGAACAGTTTGAAAAAGGAGAGGCTTCATTGGGGTCACAGTTTTAGAGTATGTAGTCCATCATCTGCAGGCTCTAAGGTAGGAATATCATGGTAGAAGATCTTGACAGAGCAAAACTGCCTAGTTCATGGTCAGAAAGCAGAGCAGGGGAGCAACAACTGAGAGGAGGAAGTGAGGGACCAAATATGATATTCA